CCACCCTATATTCGAATTGATAATCGACAGTGATACACTTAAAATTGAGTTAGTTAATCAAAGAACAAAATGGACACAAGCAATTGATGTCGATACTGCTAAATATCCGTTACCATGGAGTTGTTTATTCAGACACTGTGATAATTTTATTCGCTGTCCAAAAGTAAAAATATGCTTAAATCAAGTTACTCATCAAGAAATATGGTAAAGCGATTAACCGCATAATCTGTATTTTCAAACAATTCCAATTCGAGACTCCATACGAGAAGAAATATCACAAACCATTACATTATATTGTTTATAAACATTCATCTCTTTCCTTCTGTTCATTTCATATTCTGCTGTTTGTACACTGTGAAAAACAAGCGTAGAGTAATAAACCATATGTGTTTATGACTTGGAGCATATATCCTTGAAGAGTATATGACGGTGATATAAATTCTTTAAAGGTGTATGATCTGAAGAGTTAAATTTTGAATTACAGTTTTGATTGTTGGAAAGAGGAGAAAGACGCATTGAATTGTATCTTACAGGACTTTCTACCTTGAGGGTGAGTTCAAAGAAATGAGCTACCACGATGTGTTTCAACTCAGCTAAGAGTTTCATCAGGTGGTTTCGGTATTTATCTGCTTATATCTATTTGGGTGTGTGTGAGGGTATGGATGAAGAGAAGATTGACACCCACACCCACACCCTTATAAGGGTTTATGAAAAGTGTGACATACGTTAAAAAGGGTATATTATTTGTTACACTTCCATAAACCCTTAAAAGATTTATTATTCCACGCTTTTTTTTTACAATATTTGTTTGTGGTTTCTTAAAAGTTGTCTTAATATCTGGAGAAGAAATGTGTGACTGATTTATGAGCCCATCCGAAAGAAAAAAACTGATTTACTAGAACTCATTCCTTCAAATTTTAATTGACAATTCATCAATATTTCTCCATGACTGGGTACGTTCTTCCGTCACCCATCTCAACATGTCTGGAGCAAATGACACACTCACGACTTTCTCTTGCGATCATGGTCTGTTGTAACGAAAAAAATGCATATATAATTGAAGCTTATTTTAATTTTTTTTTCTCGTATGTTTGCATAGCTTTCCGCACAAGAAGCATTTTGCTTGTTCTTTTTCTTTCTTTCTCGAGGACAAGCACTCTTTTCTTCTGTTCTTTACTACTTCAATTTCTCGCATACAAAACCAATTCATTAATATTTTTCACGATGCAGTCAACGTTAAAAGTACAAAGACATTTTTTCTGTTTAGTATTTACTTTGGTAGCGACTACCCAAGCCCAACAGTATCAATGTTCATGCTCATGTTGTAAGGGACAAAACTGTCAAGTTGTTCTGACTGGTTATACGTATGCTTTCTATTGTACAACGGACAGTTGTCTTCAAGCATGCAGTAGCATATACTCTCAATGCCGATTTACTCCACCTTATGGACAAGTTAATTCACAATGCTTGAGTGCCTCCACTGTCATTCCTTCAGGTGGTTCATATAGTTGTCAATGCAATTGTTGCAATGCAGGAAGTAGTTCTTGTACACCCGTATTGATTGGCTACACGACTGCTTATGGATGTGACTCAGGATCGTGTAGCATTGCATGTACCACTCGATACCCATCTGTATGTATTTCGAACCAAAATGGACAAACACAAGGTATATGTTTAGGACTTACAACTGCAGCCACCACTACGGTTGGCCCGTGGCTTGGTAATGGCTGCTCGTGCTACTGTTGTCGATCGACCCAAAAATGCTTACCCATCATTAATGTGGGTAACACTTCAGCATCGCAATGTTCTACACTCGCGTGTACGCAAGCATGTCAAAATACATATTCCACCTTATGTCCATCTTCATTGTATAATGGGCAAACTATAGGTCAATGCACGATTCCTACAACAGGGAACAATCAATGTCGCTGCTTCTGTTGTGGTACTAATGGATGTTTAAACTATAATGTATACACTAATGGAGATTGCACATCATGTCCTTCTATGTGTCTGCAGTATACGCAGTGTGTTAATCTTTACCAAGCTACCCAGTCGTGTTATACTAATTCAACTGCAGTTCGACAAGTTTCATTTGGTCGTCTCAAAACGATTA